TGTTCAGAATGAAAATAATGATATCTATCCCTTGCAGGAGTGCTGTCAGGATCCAATGGGATGTGAAAGGTCTTTGTAAGGTTTTGAAGGCTACACAATAAATATTATCATGAGAAGACTGATGATTTGCCCACGTTACTTGTGTAAAATTATAGCTCTATTTTAGCCAGATAAGACTCCGAATAGGCCTTAATTTTAAGCCCAGCAAATTCCTACAATAAAGCATAAAGGAGAATAAATGTGGTCAGTTTAGCTGTCAGTCATAGTTTCTAATGGCCTGTCCCAGACCAAATTGCTGTGCAGGTAAGGCTTAATTTGGTTAACACGCTTTTCACTCTTCACTGAAAATCCTCCACCTTCCTCCCCACTTTCCTGGTCTTCTCCCTTGTGACGTATAGCTCATACTATTTACACAAAAGTATATATATGTTATAAAGTAGAACATGAGAAAACTGTCCATGCTCACTAGTAATCAAAGATAAGAAACTTAAGATAAATTGTACCATTTTACACTTAGTACTAAATATAAATGAGTGTCTAATTTTGGTGAGGTTATAACAAAATTGTGATGTTACAGCATTAGTGGTGTAATAAATGTATATAATCTTTTACAGGAGCAAAATGACAATACATAACAAGTATTAAGGAGTTATTTCTATCTTTTGACCTTGTAATCTTCCCTCATTTCAAATTTCCAAGGAAATAATTAAACAAAAGTAAAAAAGTAATTATAGACATATTTGTTCCTAGCAGACAGATATTAAAAAATAAGAGAAATGTTTTAGTTAATCGTACTGTGGTTGTAATTGCCAGAATGAAAATATATACACTACTTAGAAACATGAGGGAATGTTTATCATTTATTTACAAATGAAAGTGTATCATGTGACAGATAATATGTAAAAATAAAATATCTTTAGTGTGATAGTGATGATTTACATATCAAATGTTCTTCAGTGTTTGAACATCTTTTAAATGCAGTGATAAAAAGAAAAAAACAGTAAAATTTGCTTAAGATTTTGCTTCTGTTAGCATGGTACACAGGAAGTTGTCCTCAATAAGATGTTGATAGGTGACAAAAAGGTAACATGTAGCACATTCAAACATGTGCGGACTGTAGTAGACTACAGTGGTTCAAAGTCTCAGATTTGAGTAAAGCCAATACCTGCTGAATTGGCTTCCTGCTTCACCCACTTGATTACCGTGTGAACTTGCACAAACTAAATTTGACAGATCTAAACTTTTTCTGATTTATAAAATGAGACAACAGAATCAATTTAGTGGACTCTTTGGGGGCAGTCAGTGAGATAAAGGATATGGCACGGTGCTGGATACATTAAAAAGTTATTCAATAAAGAGTTGCTGTTTGTGCTGTTATTAATGATGATGAGGAGGAGGGAACTAAGGCCTTTTAGAGAAAATACCTTAAAGGTCTAATGTCTCTATGCTTTTCAAATGCTAACTGTTGTATTGCACATAGGGGTGCATGTCTGTTTTTCTAGCTACGGAGGCATGAAATTTGTAGGAGGTTTGTAGATTCAAAGGCAGCTTGGGCAATTTAGCAAGACTCTGTCTCCAAATAAAATTTAAAAAGGGCTTGTAATGTAGCTTTTTGGTAGAATGCTTGTCTGGCATGAAAAAGGGCTCTGGGATTAATCCCCAGTAACACACACACACACACACACACACACACACACACACACAGACACACAGTCTCTGTATTTGGGGTCAACTACAAACTTGAAAGGGACTTCATTTTTAACATTTACTTATTGACAAATAATAATTTTATGTATATATGGAATACAATATGATGTTTCATTACATGTATATACTGTATATGTTGATTAAATCAGGCTAATGAACACATTCATCACTTCAAATAGTTACCATTTCTTTTAGCTATTTTGAAATATGTAGCACTTTATTATTATGCTCATAAGAGTTACTTATAATACACATTTAACAGTAGACTATTTTTATAGAGCTGCTTGAAGTTTACAGCAAAATTGAGTAAAAGGCATAGAGATTTCCCTATATACATTACCTCAACACAGGCATGGCTTCCTCTGCTATCAAAATCCCACACTAGAAAGACACGTGTGTTACACATTTGACACGTCAGTATCACCCCGAGCCCATAGTACACAGTAGGGTTCATTTTTGGTATTGTAATTTCTCTGTGTGTAATTGCATCTATCATTACGGTATCATACAGAGTACTTTTACTGCTCTTAAAATTCTCCACGTATTGTTTTTATCCCCTCTTCTCCTCCTCTGCAATCCCTGGCAACCACTGCCAACTTTTAGTCTCCAAATTTTTGCTTCATCAGAAGAATATAGTTAGATTTATGTAGTATACAGCCTTTCTGGTTGGCTTTTCTCTGAAAAGTTTTTTTTTTTTTTTTTTTTTTTTTTTACTATCAGTATAGAGGGCCAAGTGAATGTTTCAAAATTCCATTAGCTATTACAAAGATAATTGCTACCATTAATTGAGCTAGAGTATACATGTTATCTCCATAAATTTTTGTTTTCCTGGCAAGGAAGTACCCAAGGTCACAGAGTCAATCAGTGACAGAAGTAATATTCAAACCCAGTTTGGCTGACTCCAGTGTTCATATGTTTCCATTAGGCCACTGTGTTTACCCTAACACTAAACATCAACCCTGCAGCATCTGAACAAGTCACAGGAACTCGGGGTCAGGCACATGGCAGAGGGGCATAGCCCCCTACAGCATTCCTGCTCTTAGAGGACAGCATCCTGATAGAACCACACAACTGCTGCCTGCTTGGCGCCAGTGTACATTTCTTAAACTTAGACATGAGAGGGTGTATTCCTTCTCCTTAAGCATGAGTCAACATACAGACCAGTCAACATACTGACTAGAAAAATTAGGTATATCTAGTGTCATGTTTCTTAACCCTTTTGCATTACTTATCTATCCAGTATCCTCTTTAAACATTTTCTTCCCAATCACCCCTCATCCCAGTTAAATTTTAACACTGTAGATAGATTCTATACTTGTTTATATACTGGGAGCCTATGGAAGGCCTAAAGCTATTGTAATATCTACTGATATTTTCTGCTCTCCAAGAAATTTCTTTCATACCCTTAAGGAGGCTCCGTGAACTCCACTGAGAATGCATCATCTAACTTCAGGTGGCTGACAGAAAGCCGTGAGTCACGAAGTGATGGCCAGGACATGGGAAAGAACCAAGGTAGGCCTACTGAGACTTACCTGAAGAGTTGCTGAAAGAGGGAAGAGGCAGAAAAAAGGATGGGGGCCAGGAAACTAGAAGCGGCATTATTCCATTAACTGTGGTAGAAATGATCAGAAAATATCCTCCGAAGTATGTTGCATAAGATCTTGCTTTTGTGATACCGGGGATTGAATCAAGGGTATTTGCACCGAGCCTTACCCTCAGCCCTTTTTTGTTTTTAATTTTGAGACAAGGTCTTACTAAGCATCAGCCTTTCTGGTTGGCTTTTCTCTGAAAAGTTTTTTTGTTGTTGTTGTTGTTTTTTACTATCAGTATAGAGGGCCAAGTGAATGTTTCAAAATTCCATTAGATATTACAAAGATAATTGCTACCATTAATTGAGCTAGAGTATACATGTGATCTCCATAAAGGTGTTAAATTGCCCAGGCTAAGCTTGCACTTGTGATCCTTGAGCCTCAGCTTCTCAATGTGCTGAGATTATAGGTATGCATGACCACAGCCAGCTGTGTTTCATGTTATTCTTGTGAGACTGGTGCTTTGTGGGTGCAGACTCAATTCCTAAGGTCAAAGCAGTAAGCAAGTAGTGTAATGATTTCAAGGTTTATCAAGAATACAACACCAGAGGAATTTAAGGTTTTTCAGAGGTTTAAGGGTGTCTGATTATGTAATTTCACTATTTTCAGTCTCCATCAGGGCTTGATTTCATGACACTGCACTATGATTTTACAATGTCTGTTGTATTACAAGATAATATGCCTTGTTTACTATATTCCAGAAAGACGCTGCTTAGCACAATATTGGTCAACTATATTATTTAAACTTCACAAAAATGTAACTCTGAAGAGCAAAATACTTCCTAACCCTGTTCTTGAACTGATGTGGGATTAGATATATCTCAGTTACTGGTAGAGAAAGGCTCTGCCTATGGGTTTTGGTGGCTCTCATGGGAATGGAGGTGCAGTGAAAATCTCCTTCCTATCAGATGGGTAGAAGGCGCTATCAATATATCAGCAAATGTGCTGTAAAGGATGGGACGGACCCTATGAAGTGAATCCTGATTGGGCCATTGATCTCACAGACATGGTCTTCACACTATGCTGCCTGTAGGAAAGAATAACCTATGAAATTCAACTTATTACCTACAGTTCTTTGACTCTGTCTTCCAATAGTCTACCCTTCCACCTGCTTCTGCAATGTTGAACAGTTAGAGCCTGACAAGAGAGTCCCCATTTGCCTAGGCTTCTGTCTGTGTGTCATGGAGAGGCTCTTGAATGGGACTGCTATCACCACTGTATCCTAACCTTCTTAGGGATCTGAGCTCCATTGTTTCTTCCTGTTTCCAAAGAAACATTGATAAGCTGTATGCAATAAATAACCACGCAAAAAAAAAAAAAAAAAACCCCAGACGTGAAGGGGTGATTTTTCCTTTATAAGAAGGGCAAAAACTTCTACCTCTCAACAGACAACAGTGATTGGTGAGTTGGTGTCAGGAGCTTGAACCTAAAAACTAGGTTCCCTTGTAATTTTGGACAAAATGACATATTTAAAGGTTTTCTAATAATTTGCCTTCTCCCACTATGTTGAATTATTTTTCTAGGAAATATCTTAAGCAGAAAAGGCAGTAAACAGGAGTTGATTATAGATAAATGAAGTTGCCAGGAAGCGGTCTGCTCACACAGAGGCCCCACAGGTTTTGCCCACAGATGTGTGTCTATAGGTACTGCACACAGACAGATGTTTTTCACAGACAGATGACCACAAAGTCAGGGGCTACTCACACAGACAGATGTCCACTAGGAACACGATGTATACCAGAAGCTCTCGGATGGTAGTCTTGACATAAAGTTCTCTGTTCTCAGCTGTGTTCTCAGTCAGTGTTGTTCCCCAAAGTCCTTAGGTATTGGAGAAATGTGCAGAGTTTCCAATAGCAGCATTTCCCCCAGATTGTTGTCCCACCTTAGGCTTCACCCTGTTTCCAGTCCCCTTATCCATTCCCTGGCAGGATCTGGCTATTTTACCCACACACATGCCTGTCCTCCTCCAAATGCTCTGAGATAGATGGGGCGATGGGACCGGGTCACAGAGAATAAAGTCATGAGCGAGAGGCACCTGTACCAGATGGGGGTGTATAGGGTCTCATCACCTCATATTCTCCCTCAACCTAGTTGTCATATATCCCACAACACCCCTAAATGACTGTTCCAGGTGCTCTGTCTGGCAGACCATGAGACTTGCCTCTGTGTCTTGAGCAAGCAGCTCTAACACAGATAAGTCACAAAGACAGCAAGATTCACCTGTTCTTCAGGACACGTTTCCCCACTAAAACCTTACGATCCTTTCTCCTCAGTCCAGTACCTCAGGAGAGATCTCCCCTCAACCAGTACCTCTGATACTGCGACAGAAATGAAGGCAGCAGCTGGACACCAGGGTCCTGTGTGTCTTCTCTTGTGGTCCATCTTCAGGCTTCCTGGGCTGAGGCTTGGGGAGTGCTGCAGTAGAGATTGTGCAGATCCTCAGCATCTCTTGTGGGGAGGGGGGGCCACTGTACGAAGGATTGTCCCAGGCTCCCCTTTCCAGTTTTTGCAGCTCCTGCCCCTCAGGATTTTCCATAGCATCCATGGAGGAGGTAGGGAGCTGGCCCAGCAAGTGCCTACTCTCACCTAGAAAAAGAGAGGACAAAGGCATGGCTAGCTGAGCCAGCAGAGGGTCAAGAGTCTGAGAGCAGCTGCTCTCACCTGCCTGTGCCTCTTGCCTTAGGGGGAGAGCTGTGCTGGGGGGGCAGGGTATGATGGCTACCAATCCTATCAGTCTGAGCCTCTCGCTCTCCTCCCTTCCTCCCTCCGTCACTCCTCCCTCCCTTCCTCTGAGAGAACATGAAGCAGAGGGTTGTGAGGAAACTAGGAGTCCGAAATTTGAAGAGGGCAAGGTGAAATAGATGTGCAGCTTCAGGGGTAGGAAGGTGACAGTGGTGAATGCTGTGTGTCCAGATGGTACCTGAGGAGGAATGTCCGGAGACTATGGTAGAGATTATGAAAGGGCACTGAGAGGGGGTAAGAAGATGGAGACTGTGGGTCTGAACTGATTTCCACCAAAAGCTCCTGGAAGAGCCAAGATGGAGTTTGGTCCAAGGCAAGGGATGAGAGACTGAGAGACGCTACATCCCCACCAGCATCAGCCAGGGATTTCTTGGGCATCTTCAATGTCTCTCCTCTAATTATCCCCTACTGAATAGAGAAGGGCAGCTCTCCTTCCTCAACCTGCCCCCATATCTGGAAAAAAGGATAATGGTAGAAGGAGCACTTGATTCAAATGTTAAGGGACAAAATTTCTCATCCCTGATGGGGATGGAAAAGAGACTGCAGAGTTTGAGGTGGCCGGAACCTTTTCTTTCTAGGCATTTCCCTCGTGGTTTATGGATGAGGCATACCTATAGTACAGCACTTTATGAAGCTATGGAGCTCAGCTTGGGAAAAGGCTATATTCTGATGGGGGAGGATGGGGCACAGAGCAAAGGGTGTGGACAACATGACTTGGGATTTAGGAGTGGATGTCTTGACCCCTCCTGCCCATAATTCCTAGGTTTCTGCTTAGCACTGGACCTAGAACAATAAGCTTGAATACAACAAGCTCGAGGATATCAGGGTTGGTCTGCTTCCTTTGCATGTCAGTCTCTGAGGGCATGTGCCCCTGGGCCTAGCTCGGGCCTTTGGTCACCTATTCTGATTCATCTTTTAGGCAAGTGTTGTGCCCAAGAATGATCCTGGTCTCTCATGTGGTGCTGATCACCCTGAAGTTCCTCATCCTAGATGGCTGTAGGGGACTATCTGTTATAACTCGGGCCCCAGTATAAAATCCAAGGGAGCAAGAGACCGAAAATTTAGGTAGCAAAGGCTTTATTTCCAGGCCTGGCGACGAGTCTCTGGGAGCCAATTTGGGGACTTCCACCCAGAGACTGAAGGGAGGACTTTAAAAAGAGGCTGGAGGAAAAGGGGGGGGGGAGAAACAAAGAAACCTGCAGAACCATTAAACTTGTTGACCCGAATCTGGAAACTATTGCTGTCCACTTAGCTCTGACAATCTCGGGAGTCCTTGGTGTTTTTCAAATTACTCCTATCCTATAGACTGACATTATCTCGGAGTGGCACATCTGCAGCAATATTTGGAGAAGAAAGTAGAGAGTTAATTATCCCACGACAGCTTGTTTTCACTAGTGGGTGCAAAGAGGTCAAGAGTTACAAGAAGCTGAAACTTAAGTTTTACAAAGATCTGATATCTAACTCATTTGATGCATACAGAACAAAAGGAAAGCACCAATTGGGATTTGGGCCATAGTATTTCCCGGTAATTTCTTTGAAGCTAAACAGTTCTTAAAATTAGGGCAGGCTCATTTTATGACAGATCATCACCGGGTCGGGAAGAGGTCACCAGAAACCCAAATTCTGTATGGCCTAGCCTAGATAGATAGGTAAGGGGAGAGGGAGGCAACAAGGCGCCATACAGAACAGAAAATGGCGGTTATGTTTTTTTTTTTTTCTTTCTGGGAAGGGAATCAAGGTCAGGTAAAGGGTTAAACTCATACACAAATCTCTCTGCACACAAGCAAGTTTCTTCAAACAAGTGTAAATTAGTGGGCCATCCTAGTTTTCTTTAGCTCTTTAGAGGAGAATAGAGGCACCTAACAGTGATTAGCAACCCTTGTTAGCTTGTTTTAGCACAACTTCTGTAGTTTGTAGAGGGCAACAATGGTTAACATATCAATTAGGTGAGATTCTTGCAATTCTTTACAGAGGAGAGTATTGCTCAACATATCAATTAGGTCACTTAACATATCAGTTAGGGAAAAAGGATAAAAAAACACACATTTAGTAAGCCACGTTGCAGGTTTGCTATAATACACATATAACGAAGCTATTTTCTTAGAGTACAACACTATCCTCTTTCAACTCCTGACTTCCCACCTAAGGCTACTTTTTGATTGCGCCAGACTGAAGACCACTTCCAAATTCAGGCAGTATCAACCTGGTGGAGGTCTCTAGTCTTGAGTGTCCTTATCAAGATATCTCACTTCTAGACAAGTAATGGTAAGCCTGAGCCTCTTGATCAACCAGTGTATCCCATCTTCTAATGTGTGGTTGAAAACATGGGTTGGATGTCTTCATGTGTGTCACATGAATCTCCTTTCCCAAGCCTGGATTAGAAAACTGACCTCTCTGCCTATCTAGAGCCATCAGGTGAGCAAGTATTCATCTCCATTATATCAGCCAGTGAGATGCATTCCAAAGTATCTATTTTCTTTGGGAAAGAGGATAAGGATCTGGGCTAGTATCAACAATTTGTGTTTTATGAGCTGAGTGAGCAGAAAAAGGATGCTGGTGTCTCTCATCCCTGAGTGTTTTGAACAATTGTCCTAGGCCTCTGGAGAAGTATGAGTGGGTACATGAATCCAACTGAGTGGCCCCAAGAAGTAGGGAGAAAAATAAGAGATGTTTTGTGCTTCCCTTGGAGTAATTCTCAGTTCTGGAGAAGGCCTGTGGTTAACAGAGCTTTGAGTGGGCTTCAAGAAGTTCACCATATGACAAGTTTTCCCATGCTCAGAGTTCAAGGCCAGGCCAACCTATTCACCTAGCCTGGACTCCCTGCTCTGTGGTGAACATTACCCTAGTGCTTAAGCCAAATGGCCCCATGAGGCAGTTATGCAACACAACTTAAAAGATTTTCTCAGGAGATTCTTGGCACTTCTAGTGTTTAAAGTGTTAAACACTACTAGTGTTTTTCTCTAGAAGTTGCAAATATGGAAATGCAGTGGAATCTGATGGTTTCATATCTAGTATTTCTCCAAGTTTGTAAGACTTTACAGATTATTGATTTATTTGTTAATAAAAGACAGTGTTGGGAAAGGTACGATCCGAGACACAGAGTGCCTTTGGACTACTTTAGCAAGACCTCAGAGTCTTAACTTTGAACTTGAATTAAATTTCTATGATTCATTGTTGGCTCAGCAACTTCCTAGGGATGTATGGGTCTGGATAGGTTACTTTTGAGACTTACTTATTTGCAAACTGTTGCTAACAATCTCTGCTCTGATGATGTGGAGGTCTATTTTTTTTCTTATTTGTTTGTTTATTTTTGTTTTTTGAGATGTGGTCTTGCTATGAGTCCAGGCTGGCTTTGAATTCACTATATAGCCCAGGTTGGTCTCAAACTTGTAGTGATCCTCCTGCCTCATCCTCCCAAGTTCTAGACAGGCATGCGCCACCACGCCCAGCTGAAGGACTGTTTTAGGATCAATATACTAGGATGTAGAAGGCTTTATAAAGTGTTACCTGAAACACAACATAAGTTGATTAAATCTTCCTATGGCATCTGTTTTTCTATGTATTCCATTCACCCAGCAGTTCATTGTGGGTGGATACCTTCAGGCAGGACTCTATTGACCTTGTCTCTGATGGACATAGGTTGTTGTCTATGTTGTACCAGTCCTAGCAGCAGAATGGAATGATGCTGTTTGAGCTAGAGAAAAGTTGAAAGTAATATTTGAATGAGAAAGCACCTGTAGGAGTTTATAATCATAACACTGATTTTGAGGTCCATCAGAACCAAAAGCATGCCTTTCTCCAGAAAGCCAAGAAAATTACATTTTTTTTTCAGTTTCATCAGGGACCTCACAGAAGCTGACCTTCTCATCAAAATGACATACTTTCTTCTTTTCCTTCCTTTTTGTCTTCTTCATTTGACAAGTCCTGCTAGAATACATTTTGCACATTCCATGTCTCCAACAGAATCCTTTTTGAATGATATTTTTGGCTTCATTTCTATTTCTAGAGGTTTTTCTAGAGATATGCATGTCCATTTGTTCACACCTTCTGTGGAAGATTTGATAATGGAGGGGACAATGTAAATTCAGGTTCAGATAGATGATGTCATCAATGATAAAAATAAAAAAGCAAATGTTCAGTTCCCTGCACTCATGAGGACTTATTTTTTTGCCACAATCATATCTCCTGCTGAATATGTTCCAGACATCATGTATTCATATGCGTTAAGCAACCCAATGGCGTTATCACTTCTGTGCAGAGTTCCAGTTGCACCAGGAAGGACCTGTAGCTTATAGCGTACAAGGTGGAGTGGGGGCAGGGAGCTCTCCACCTGAATGGCAGGCTGCAGGCTAGAAAAAGGGAGACCCTCTGCTAGGAGTGGGGAGATCAAGAAAGGCATGAGCGAGAAAGGATGTGCAGGCCCGTACCTTGAAGAAGAATTCCCTAAGAAGGTGGTTTTTACCCTCAGTACCACTCACCAAAATCCAGCTGAGGCCTGGTTGGCTGTGTCTCCAAAGTCTGCATAAAGGAGAAATGAAGCACTAGGACAGATACTTTACTGGCGTATACTCTCTTAGCACAATTTCATGGTTTAAGTAAAGTTGCTTAAGGTACACCTCTGAGGACCCCGTAACAAGAGACACATATTCTTCTGAGCAGAGTTCTCACTCCAGTCTACATTCATTGCATAGGCATGTACTGAGTGTCAATTATATGGTTGGTCCAATGCTTATCTCTAGGGATGAAGCAGCAACAAGACCGTTATGGCCCTTATACTTTGGTGAAGAAGACAGGTACCACAGATGTGTGAATAATTCATAATGTATAATCACACAAAGTACTGT